TACATTTATTTCCTCTGAGGATCAACTTCTTCTGTATGGTAGGGACAATACATTCCTTGGCTCCTGTCATAGAAAAGTGACTGGTCTTTTCCTGTTTCTATCAAAAAAGAGAAGTTAAAGGAGATTCCCAACCATGTGTGGGCTGAGGCCGATATTTGGACCTACCCGCTACAAATGGATTGGGAATGGTGGAGCCGAGGCGCCTGGCACAGGCTTGCTCCTGGCAGTTCCAGAAATGCTAACATCATTCTGGGCTGCCACTGAATCCAGCTGGTGCGCAGACATTGATGTACTCCAGCTTTGCTTCTGGAAACATCTGTTCATGGGCCATGACACCTCCTCCCCTAGGTAGACGTAATGCTGTAACCAGATATGTGATGCCTTCAGTTTTAAAAGATATTGCTACTAATAATGTATGGGTAACACATTCCTTAGTATCTTCATAAAATCATGAGGATTTAAAATTACCAGTCTAATGAATGTGCAATGGCCCTTCATTGTTTTGTTTTGTATTTCACAAGTTACTGAATTTATTACTGAATGTTAGGACTGAAGTTGTTTTCAAATATTAATTAGCTATTCTGGTTTCTTCAACCATGAATTGACTATTTATAATAATCCACTCAGTTTTTCGTTGAGACTTCAGTTTTCTGTTAGGGATTTGCAGGAATTTAAAAATTAGTTATGGGTACTAAACCTTTTTTGTTTAATGTATAATGAATATCTTCTTTCAATTCATGACTTTTCTTGGTGACTTTATTTAATGTGTCTTTTGATGTAGAGAAGTTTTAAATTATAAGTTAGTCAAGACCTATATTTGAAGCGTCAAATTTAAACCTTTTAGAAATTTTATATGTAATCTTTTTACATGTGTAATACTTTTATTAGACTAGAAATCAGCACCAGTTGCTCTGACTAATATTTCCCTACTAATTTACAAAGCTCTTTTCACGCTATACCAAATCTTACACTTAAGTAGATTTACTTCTGAATTCTGTATTGTATTTTACTAGTCTATTTGTATATTCCCGGACTGATACATTGTCTTAAATACTCTGGTATTGTGTTAAGCCTTGACATCTTGTAACATCAGTTTAACCATTTTGTATCTTTTTAGAGTTATCTCCATGCTCCGTGGCATTTTTATGGAATCTTACAACTGTTAGGAGTATTTGTCAAGTTCCACGAAATATGTTGTTTGTGTTTGGATTGGCAGTGAGTTACATTTACTGAATGGAATAATCACCATTATCATATTGAACCACTATCCATAAAGAATTCTTTTGTGCCCAACAAAATTTTATCATTATTATAATTATTATATAATTACATCATTATAATTTTTCTGTGTAAATGTCTTATGTATTCTCATTTGTATGTATTCTCACAGGAAACTTACAGATACAGTTATTGAGAAAAATGAAAATTATGTGTTTCAATTTCTTGTTGCTGGTATGAGTATTTCATTTTGTATAATGATCTTGTATCCAACAACCTTGTTGAAGCAGCTTGCTTTTACAATTTATAGATTCTCTTGGATTTTAAAAATTTAGGCAGTCTTATCAGCTGTAGAAGAAGAAAAATGTTCCCCACTCCATTCCAATTATTATACTACTTGGTATTCTTTTAAATTGTGTTTTCTGAGATCTGCAGTGTGTCTTTCAGTAGGCTGATGGAAGTCTTGGTTGGGAATATTTCTGGAGAAAATTTTTATGAGCTGAATTTTTTAGTTCTCATTTGCTGTGTCTTTCTCATAGTAATGTTACCTTTCTCTGTTCATTAAATATGTTGGTTTTTCCTCCCCCAGATAGATATCATAGGTTAATTCTATCTCAGAGATAAAAAAAATTTGGGAATTTTTGTTCAACATTTCAGTTCAAGAGTGCCCTCTACTGTTGGAACACTGAAGTTTTATTAATGTTGCCTGTTGAGGGTGGTGGTAAGTGGGAGGAAGGTCTACTGATTTTGTGATTATCTCATAGATTTATGATCCTTAATTTCTGGTGTTTGGCTTCTTGCTTTTATCTTCCCAGTTGCCCTCCTCTTCCCCAGCAGCAGGGCCTTCCCAAGACTGCCATTCTGGAGCTCCATGCTTGGAAACCTATGGCTCACTTGCCCTAGTCTCACTCCTGTTCTCAGTACCATCCCACTCAAGGGAGGATCCCTTTCTTTCTGGAGGTGATGTCTGCTGGGTCCCATCCTCTCTAGGGACCTGCTGTCTTTTATTCTCTTCCATAACATCTTTGTCTCATTCAGTTCCAGCATGGCCATTAATCTGGCTCTATGGACTGGACTTTTCCACTTAACTCCATGTAAATTGAAGACTGTGAGGTCAAAAGGCAAAACTACAACACCTTTAAAGATTCAGTTTGCCTTTTATTTGTACTTGAGAGTTAAGCAATATCTTATCCTGGAAAATAAAAAGAGTTTCCTGATGAGCTGAGCAGGAAAGTTTGTTTTCATAGCCATAGAGAAGAAATAAAGGAAGCAGAAATAGAACATTCAAAGTTATTTTCCTTGCAAAGGTTAAAGCAGAGGAGATTAAATTTGGCTTGTTTAGGGATTTTGCTCTCTCTCTCTCTCTCTCTCTCTCTCTCTCTCTCTCTTCTCTCTCATCTGTCTCCTGATTTCTTGGGAGATAAATTAATTTTGCTTGGCGGCATGGAATCAAGCATGAGTGAATCCTATTTATCAATGGATTTTTATTCTTTACTGTACTTTGTATGTGGTGTTTTGTTGTTGACCTGTGTAGTTTTAGAAAACAGACTTATGTAGAGATTTTCTTCTAAGGAATCAAAGGGGTAAGGAATGTGTTACACTCTTCTTCTATGACTATAGGTTTGGCATTTTGTTATTGTGATTATGTCCCTTTCTGCCTTACATATATTGTTAGGTTACTGACAGGACTGTTGTATACCTTCTTGGTGACTTGTTCCTTTAATAAATGAATAATGATCTCTATGACTAGTAATTTTTGTCTAAGTCCTCTAGATATGTTATTAATATAATATTGTTTGGTTAATATTTGCAGTCTACATATTAGTTATATAGTTTTACTTTCAAACTTTGAAAGTATGTTTATTTTTAGATATTAAAGCACATAGTTGGGCATTTAAAAAATATACCTTGATGCTCATTTTTTTGTCTTGAGAAAATATTTTCACTGATGAGTGTAACCTCTGTATTTTTGTGGTGATTACTAAGGTATTTAATTTTATTTTATGATTTTATCTTATGATCAGAGATCATTTTCCCTGTTTTTAAATCTCTTTTCCTTCTTGCTAGATTGGTATTTCTATCAATTTCTCTCTTTCCCTTATTTGCTGGTTTGAAAGTTGTGCTTCAAATTTCTGTTTTTTTAATCATCTGTACTCAAAATCTAAAGTGCATCAGAATCACCTAGGCAGATTGATAAACTACGCATTTTGTGGCCTACCCATAATTTAATATGTTTAGGGTAGGACCAAAGTACAATTCGTCCTCCATATTCAAAGCTTCCACACACACAGATTTAATCAGTCACAGCTGAAAAACTTTTTTGAAATATTGAAAACATTATGTCTACACTGAATATGTACAGATTTTTTTCTTGTCATTGCTCCATAAACAATATACTTATAAGAACAATTTACCCAGCACTTATATTATATTAGGTCTTGTAAGTAACCTAGAGATGTACAGTGTGTTGGAGGCTGTATACAACCTCAAATATTCAAATACTACACCATTTTACACAAAGGTCTTGACCATTCAAAGATTTGGGTATCTTCCAGGCATTGGAAGCCAGTGCTCCTTTAATACCCAGGGATTATTGTAGTTGTATTTTTATTAAATTCCTAAATTCTGTTGTGACTCTGGGAACCACACTTTGAGACTCAGCCGGAATTGGTAGCTCATACCAGTTTAAATACTAGCCATCTGGGCTAGACGTTGTGGCACATGCCTGTAATCCCTGTATTCAGAAGACTGAGGCAGGAGGATTGCTCCAAGTTGAAGGCCAGCTTGGGTTACAAAGTGAGGTCAGGGCCAGTCTGAACTGCATAGTGAAACCATGTCTCAAAAAGACAATACACACATCCACACAGCCATCCATTCTGGCCATCTGTATACAGCTCAACTATTTTGTTAATATTTTAGGATTCTTTTTGAATTTTCTATGAAACAAGATGGTTTCTTTGAACATCTATTCATATAATATTGCCAGGAATAGAAGTAGTGTTTTCATTTCTCATTGGAGAATAGTTTTGTCTTACTCTAAGTTGCAAACAAAGAGACGTTTCCATGCAAGTGTGTCTCTGCTGGTAGTTGGGCTTTCTCTGGTCTCAAAAGTACAGTCTTTACAGATTTCTCATTGTAAATTGGATTTTAGCTCTTTGGCCTGGTGTGAACCTAAAAGCCATTTGTCTTACTTACCCTTGACATGCAGTTACAACCCCACCTCCAGGCTTGGGGCATTAGTTTTTGAGGTTTCCCATGGTAGTGAGTGTCTTTTTGATTTTTAAAGCCTAGGGTTTCCCTTTAGAGCTTGGCTAGGCTCCTACACTTGGATAGGATTTAATGCAATATTTCTGTGGGTTTAATGGGGTGACAGCTGAGGACACGCCACCATCTCGGCCTGCCTAATTGTCTTATATTATCTCTTCAGCTGCAGCCCAGCTGAGAACATAATGTAAGGAGTCAAGAAGGCTTAGAGCTGAGGGAGGGTGGTGGAGAGCACTGGTGGAGGGCAGAGCACCTGAGCTCAGGGGCTTGGTGCTTGGGGTCCACAGATATCATCAGCGCAGAGCAGTAATAGGAAGTGTGGGGTGCATATGATGAAGGAGGTGCCCTCATGGTGGTGGTAAATCTATAAACAAGACTGGGACAGCTGTGGCATTTAAACATTTCACTAGGACCCGTCCTTCCGGAAATGTTATTTCCTTTAAAGTACATACCACTAAAAATTTAAAATATCTTCTTTTTAGTGTCATTTTTTTCTCAAATATTGCCATCTCTTTTAGGTCTGATTTGACAACATACTCGGAAGATTATGTTCCACACTATGATTATCAGCCATGTGTGAGTATAGGAATCATGTTCGAATATTTATGTACTTAAAATGACTTGTTAGATCCAGTTTCAATAGTCCATCTTGGGACGAAAGGAGAAACTGCTAAGATTTATGATGTTTTATAGCTGTCTAGACATATTAGCTGTTGATGAAAATCAGTAGAATACTTTTATGGTTATGATTTAATTTTGGAAATTTACAGATTTTGGAAAATTCTGTAGTGTCCAAAAACCATCAGTGACTTTCTTCCTCATCTTGCTTATTACCCTTTACGTAAAACCTAATTTGTCTGGGATAAGAAACCACCTGTTGGTTCATTTGTGTAATGTGGATACATATAGGTGTGTGGCCTAATTTACTTATAGGGAATGTATATGTTGATTTTTTAAAAAGTAAAGTTTATTTTATTTATTAATACTATTATTACTATTATTATTATCTCTTTGAGACAGCATTTCACTATGCAGTTCAGGCTGGCCTTGCGTCATCTTGTAGCCCAGGCTGGCCTTGAACCCATAGCAATCTTACTGTCTCAGCTTCCTGAGTACTAGGATTACACGTGTGTGCCACCATGCCCGACCTAAGGGTACAATTTATAATAACAATATATTTGTACTTAAGAGTTGTGCAGGAGAAAGTGTATGTTGTTTAGAACATGTGAAGCCATCGGTTTGATACCTAACCCTACCAAAACATCCAAGGAGGACAACACAAGAATCATGCAACAGAATCTACTTCCTACTAGCTTTGTTTAGAAGTATTACTAGTGGAATAGACATGCGATAGAAACAAGAAATTTAACTATTCATAAAGAAAAAAGTAAAAAAAAATCATCTTCTGATATGTGACTATTTACCATGGGGAACCAAGCTATTAAACTGAGAAGTAATTAGAAAGAATAAAATAGTAGCTTTCCTTCATGCCAGCACTAATCAGTTACCAAATTGTAAGAGAAAGAATCCACACAAATCATTGTTGTGACACTAACTTAAAATATTTTTATGAGGAAAATTTTACTAAAGTCCAATAAAACAACAACAAAAAAATGCAATCGTTTATCTCCCAAGTTGATAACTTTCCTGTGGACGTAGGTAACTTCCTCAGTGAGAAGTGACTTCTAAATCTACCGATAGGATCAGTAGAGTGTGGGAGCAGTGACTCTGCAGATGTGAGCCTGACCTTACTTAAGAGGACTGCTTCCCCTGTTGAATCCTGAGCAACCATGTGGAAAAATCCAGGCTGCTCTGGGAAAAAATCCAGGCTGAGGTGCTTGACACATGAGCAAGGCAGCCATCTTGGACTTCCAGCTCGGTTAAGCCTAGCCTGTAACCACAATTGCCATCCAAACACACAAGAGATTCAAGCTACTAAGTCTGTTTATTCAAAAAAAGAAAAGAGCTAGAAAGGAATTGAGGCAGAAAGCTTGCATAGAAGGGAATAGTTACCACTTTATGAAAATGGCAAACTAATTATAAATTAAAGTTATAAGTGTAAAATAATTATAATTAAAATGCTTAAGGTTATGTTTTTCATCAGAATTTAAGATTCTGAGAATTATTTGAAAGAGTACATAGATTAGACTAAAAATTTTAGAAAGATGCAAATAAAAGATTTATGACATCACCTTTCTTATGTTATATGCTAACATTCAAGCCATGAAAGAAACATGAAACAGCTTACAGATTGGTATGCTTAATACACACAAAATTCATGCTCACCTGCAGGAAGAATATTAAATACCCTAGATAAGTGAACAAAGAACTCACACAGGCAATTTACAAGGTAGGAAATGTAATTGACTAATAAATATAAATGAAAGACCAATTCACAAACAATAAAAGATGGGAGTTAAAATAATAAGATTATTTTCCTGTTAACACTGGAAATAGTTTTAGAAATTTATAATGTTCACTGGGATGAGATGGAGACAAGTGCTTTTATCTGTTGCTGAGCCAATTACAAATTGTTTTAATCTTGCTGGAAAGGAACTTGGTGGTATGTATTAAGCTGCTATTTCATGTAATTTTTTTTCTAGGAAATTTTTCCTGTGAAAAATAATTCAAACTAGAGATAAAAATCTGTGTCCAAATATGCTAATTACTGAATTATTTATAATGGCAAAACTTGAGAAGTACTAGATGTTTAGTATTAGGAATAATGTTAATTAAATACACGATAACCATATTATAAGACACCATGCAGCCTTTAAAATATCCAGGTAGTTGTGTCATAATCTTTTTTTGGTACTGGGGATCAAATTCATGACCTCCTGCTTGCCAAGCAAGTGCTATACCGTTGAGCTATATCCCCGGCCCAAATAATTCATTTTTAAACTTCTCCCACTGATTTTTTTAAAAAATTTTTTGTTCTTTGAGACAGGGTCTCACTAAGCAGTTCATATTGGTCTTGAGCTCACTTTGACTGAGCCCGGGCTAATCTCAAATTTGCACAATCCTCCTGCCTCAGCACCCACCCTTCCCCGCTCCAGTGCTGAGATTACAGGCAAGCACAAGCACACTCAGCTAATGAATCTTAACTGAAGGTTAAAAGAACTTTAAGACACAGAGTTATGTATATATTTTATTTAAACTGCATGAAAACATAGAAAATTTTTAAATTGGAAAAACTATAAAAATGCTAGTTAAATTAGCCATTGCATGTTGAGATTCTAGGTTTTTTATTTAATCTGTTTGAAACAGGATCTCAATACACAGTTTGCGCTAGCCTTGAGCTCTCTTTGTAGCCCAGGCTGGTCTTGAACTTGCAGCAATACTTCTGCCTCAGCGTCCCAAGTGCTGGGATTACAGGTATGTGCCCACCACACCTGGCAATTCTAGGTAGTTTTCTTCATTTATACTTTTTATAGTTTTTCAATACAATAATCATTATTATTTATTATTTAAAAGTGCATTTTATATTTACATAGGATTTGACAATCTTTGACCAAAAGAAAATGTGATATACCTAATTAAAAACACAAAATTTAAAGGACTAAATATGATAAACATACAGAATGTAATGATAAACATACAGAATGTAAAAATATTAAGATACTATATATATATATGTATCAGTAAGATGAATGTAATTATTATGACTTATAAATATGTACAAATAAAATGTACATATAGCTAACATGTTGCACTGTATGTTTAAAAAATGGTTAAGATGGTAAAATTTATGTTTTCCACAAAAAAATACCAAAAAATAATGTGATATATTCCCAGGTCACATAAGTCTTTAGCTATTGTGTTATATATTCATGATTTTAGTATTTTCCAAATTGTTTCTGATACTTCTGTCAGTGCTGGTTTCCATTTTGACTGCAAAGCATGGCACAATACTTGTTTGAATTTATTACAGGGTTTTGTTCATTCACTTCTACCTTTCATGTCAAAGTAATTTTGAGACACATTTTTAGCACTGCTTCTAACCTGCATTTAATGAATGCTTGTGTTAAATTGTTGCAGTGTACAAAATTATTTTAAGTGATAACATTGGATGGTTAAAAACCAGCAGAAGAATGATTGAATTCTGCCAGTGAATTTACCATGAATGTAAACAAATGTACAAGTCAAAAATACTGCCAAAACAAGGAGAATATTTGTTGACTTGTAGCCTTTATTATGCAGCTTTAGAATAAGTTACTTTCACTATTCATAACAGCCTTTGCTATTATGCAGTTCTTTTTTATTTTTTTTATTTAAAGAAAGACAAAACAAGATAGAAAATGGGCAGAAATATTATATACTTTCAAAGAAAAAAAATAGTAATAAATCACTAGCTGATGTATACATATTGTCCTCCTATAAATAGTTGGTCAAGGTACACAAGTGGAACATATAAATGGGATTTCAACCAGGGAGACTGCAAACAGTTCTGTTCAATTATCCAACAAAAACTAAGTATTATAGCTATCAATCCTATTCACTTGGACATGTACGTGTTTATCCATATCTTCATTTATGTGCATATTAGATTAAAATCCTTCTGAACAAAGATTAATAATATTGCTGGATTTCACATCATAACACTCTGGAATCAGGATTGGGTACTGCAGTGCCACTTTATTTCAAAGTTTTTGTTCATTTCATCATGTGTCATCAGATCAGTTCTCATAAACTGTTTACAGATTTTATGTAAGCTTGAGTCTTAACATGTATTTCTATCCTTTCTATGTTAAAGGGAAAAACATAACAAAGCAAGGCAGAACTAAACTTCTTCCTATAGACATATAAAACTAAAAAGACATATAAGTCTGCTGTATAAGGAGTTCTATCCTTGTCACTGTGATGTTTTTTATTATCATCAACAGAATTGGCTATATCATCAGATAAAGTATAATTGAGCATATCAGTACATAACAGAATTAACAAAAGTGCAACTTTATAGATAGTATAGAGCTACAAAAACAGGTAGTAATCAAATCAGAATGGATATTGTAGTGAATCATTCTCATTTTCAGTATAGTTGTCTGTACTCTTCAACTTGTTGCCATCAACCTTACAGGTTTTGAATAAAATCTGTCAATAATAAGCAGCAATCAAACAAGTCAGATTTAACTAAGATAAGTCATGATATAACAGTATAAGTCATACATGGATCCTGATTGAGTTAATAGGGAATTAAAGATGTCCCCTATGCTATGGGCAGCCGTCCGTGCCCCTCAGATCCATTGCTTGTATACAAACTAGGACAGAACAAGTTCCAATCAAGCAGAGTGGTGTGAGTAATAGGGGTTTTAATTCCTGATACACTATTAGCTATAAATTAAAGCCTGTCTGTTCAACCTATCCATATATACTGGTCTAGTTACCCCTATTACTCTCTGGTTCCCTATCACATCGAGTTCCATTTTCTCATGTTTGATTTTGGTCCATATAACCTTCTCCAGGCTAATTATATTTCCTATAAAGAGCCTCTCTGTGGACCCTATCTCTTGATCCACTCTGCCTGCTATTCTCTTATTTTTTTCCCTGAAGTTAGGGTATCTAGCCAATCTATATTA